CACGCAGTATCGCTCCTAGCCATCTTCGGGAGACGGAGCTTACACGTAATTATTCGAGCATCAACCCACTCAGCCGGTGTTAAATGGTGCATGGGGCGGGGGGCGGGGAGGAATATGTCGCGCGTGAAAAAACACTCCCGGTGTCAGAGCAAACGCAGAACTCCTGACCGGAACCGACAGCCACGGTCCCGTCTCCTTCACTGGAGACCGGGTAGGAAGCTGAGCGGCCGACCGTCGCGACCGGCAGTCGCGATATTCAGTCCGATATTCGCGACCCCCCGCACGAGCCCTTTCGGCGGCCCCGAGCTGCTTCGGGTTTCCGAGCCAACACTGAACTCCGAGGGGGTGGCCGGCGGCGGGGGGAGGGTCGCCGCCGCGGCCCGCCCGCAGCCCCGCACCGCCGCGCCCCGCCCCGCGCGCCCGCCGCGGCCCGCGGACCTGCCCTGCGGCTCGCGCGCCCACCGCGAGGTGCCGGACACGCCGCCGCCGCCCCGCGCCGCTCCCCCGCCCGCGGCCCCCTCCCCCGCCGCTTCCTCTCGCTCTCCCAGCCCCTTCCCCCCACGTGTGGGTGACGTCAAAATTCCGCGAAAAAGCCGCGTGGTGGCTCCCCGAGCGGAGGCGCGGTTCCGCCGCCCAGCGGCCCCCTCCGGGGCGCGCCGGGGGAGGGCTAAGCCCCGAGCCGGCCGGTTCCTTTTCCTCCAGCGAGGCCGGGCCCCGCCGACGCCGCGGGCCAGGCGCCCCCCGCCCCAAATCTTATTGGAAAACTCACTTTTATAAACCTCATGCATTTCCAGAGCTATTTTCGGCCTCGTGAGGCGTGTCCTGCAGCTGAATCAGACAGGAAGAGGGGGAAGTTCGGGTCTTTTTATTTATTATTATTTTTTTTCCCAAGGGAGGGGACTGAGAGGCTAGGTGGGTGAACAGACGGCAGGCGCAAGCCTTCCTGACCCACGCCTGTCGCATCTGCTGCCTCAGGCACACAGCCCCGCTTCGGGCTGAGACGCATCGAGAGGGCGGTGTTAATGCACAGGCCGGGCCCGACGCTGCCCCCCGCTGGATCCCGAGCGCCCCAGAGAGGCGACTGGGGACCGGGGGGCGGCGACTGGGTCCCGGAAACGTATTCACACCTGGAGTCCCAGGGCTCCGGCGTTGGGAAGCCTTCCCATCGGCTCGACCCTACGCGCCTTCCTTGCCCTTGTGCCCTCCGTCCCGACCTGTCCTTTTCCTTTCGCACGTTCTTCCAGTTCGCTTTCACTCCCTTCCTGTGACCCCCAGCCCCCATTTCTCTTTCTGTACTTTCTCTAGTTCTTTTTGGTGTCCCGGGAGCCAGGAGCCGAGACTACGACATTTACCACTTACTTTTAACTAACCGTCGGGTTTTTGGGTTTCATTGTCAGATCATCCCTCAGTGGAGAACCACAGACACAGTCCAACTCTTTGGAGGACTTAGGGGGAGGGCGATGGTCCCCATTCCCCAGGTTGAACTCACTCCCCTCCCCCCACCCGGCCGGAGCGCCCCTGCCGGGAGGCAGCCGGACTCGAACTCGCGCGCCTCTATAGCTTTGAGCCGACAACGTGATCACCTGGCCCGCCGGCAGCTGCCAGGTGAGCTTGGGAGCATGTGTGCTTAGCGTTTGCAGGTTCCTGCAGAAATGTGCCTATAGACACCCAACACCCGGCTGCACCCTACACCTACAGGGTTTTGTACACTTTCCAACCGAAACTCCAAAACGCGGGGAGTAGGGGGTGGGGAGCCGGCACAGAAAGGAATAAAAGTCCAATAAAACTTATGTTCACCAAAGTTTATCACTGATTCTATAAAGGACAGGATTTTTTTTTCCCTGGGGGTGAAAAGGGGATAAGGAAGAACCAACATATTTTTTTTTCCCCCACAGTGACCAGTTTTGACTTAAAAGTCAGAGCACAGGAGATTGGGTTTTTCTCTAAACCTGAGTATATACGCAAAGAAAATGCCCACGTTTGCCCAGAAGGCAACGTGCCTGTTCCCGCGTGCTAGGCGCAGTGCTTTTAAACATGCAAAATTAAGATCTTAACACATGGTCGGAGTGGCAACCCAAAGGGAAAACTCAGTTTCCAGCCCAAGCCTCCCGGAGACATTCCTGCCAACCTCCGCACCCTCTCATGCCCCACCCCGTGCATTGGAGACTGAAACCCGACTGGGGGACTGATTCGATGCGAGGTTAATGTTCGGGAACAGTCCGTAATAGGAAGGGGAAGTGAATGGGGGAACTTGAAGAGGCGAGCCTGCCACGCGGGAAGCGTCCGCACTCGTGGGTCTAGGTGAATGAAGAGGCCACGGGGAGAGGGGGCATCCGCCCGCGCCCCTCTGTGCCCCTCCCCTTCGCGACTACAGCTCCCCCAGTCCCGCGCCCCGCCGGAATTTCTCAGGGAAGCCAGACAGGAGTAGGGGTGGGGGTACAGGGGAGGGAAGGGGCGAGAGGGCCCTCGGCGCGCTTCTGAGATTTGAGACGTCGCCACCCAGGCTCTCTCCCCAGGGTGGGCTAGGCGGGGAGGACGACCACCCGCCTCTTCCCCTCCCCCCCTCCTCCCCACTTCAGGAACCCAGGACTGGGGATGCTTTCCCTGCTGGGAGGTGGAGAGAAGACCGTGCTGGGTTAGTTATCAAGTGATGTCAAGAGGCTGGAAGCCTTCGCCGACTTCTGTCCTTGCCTGTCAGGCTAGATTTATACTTTAAAAATACCTCTCTCACCCCCTACCCGACCCCCCGCCCAGCAGCTTTCTTTGAACCGCTGATAGGTGGCTGGGGTGAAGTCTGAGTTAATTCCTCTATGGGGTCGGGTCTTAAAATGTAAGTTAATATATTTATCCGGAGTGACTCAAGCTTGAGTCGGGAAGTCCAAGTTGACTAAAATCAATAGGTAATTGTTAGGGACCGACTCTATTCCGAGGAACACTGTACTCAGCCTGAGTGTCATCCACTACGTAGGACTGTTTCATTTTGAGTTGCAAGTTGGGTTTCTCAGTGAGCTTTTTGCTTCCCGAAAGCTAATGGCTTCCACAGCAATTAGACATTTTCCTCGTCCTCCCCCTTCCCTCCCCTTTCTTTACCTACGGTAGATTGGATACTAATTCCCTGGGCTATTGATAAGGTCGCAGGCGCCCCGGCCTCTCCCCAGCCCGCGCCCGCCCCAGTCCCCGCTCTCTCTCCGCCCTCCCTTGGTTTCCTTTTGATGTAGCGGGGAACGCGTCCTACTAAAAAAAAAAAAAAAAAAGAAAGAAAAAAAAGAAAAAAAAAAAAAAGAAAAAAGTAATCTGCCCGGTAACAATCAGCGCGCAGTAGCAGGAGCCCCAGAGCTATTGGCTATGCAAATAGAGGGAGGGGAGACGGCGCCCCAAACTCTTACTCACCCTTTTAAAGCGATATTTCCCCCCTTCACTCCCCCCACCCCTTCCGCCCCACCCTCGTTTAAAGGGGCTGGCCTCGGGGCCTGAGTTAATCGCTAGCACCTCTGGTTTATTCACTCCCCGCCTTCTCTATTCCACTCTCCCCCCTTTCAGGGAACCGAGTGTACAACTCACCCAGCGCCCCCCCCCCCCGGTCTCCACGCCCCGGTTCGGGCCCCCTTTCTTGGTGAAGGAGGTGCTCGGTCGATCACGGTGTGTCCCGAGCCCTGACCCACGCCATGCTCCCTGCACGTGCCAGCTGGGCCAACTTGCTGGGGTCTCTGGGGTCTGTCCCTTACCCCCAAAGTGAAATTACACTGAAAGTTGGGGGGCGGGGTGGAGGGAGGAAGGAGGTAAGGAAACGCCACCATATCCCCTGTAAAAGCAGCCTTGACCCCGGGATGCATTTGAGCACATGTCAGAGCCGACTGCTCGGGCAGCATCTCCATCGCAATCCCGCTCCCCGGGAGAAAGCCCCGGCTGGCGAGTGAGGCGTGAACCCGGAGGGGCCGGCGAGGATGCCAGCGAAGGACCCAGGGTGGAAGTCTTGGGCCTCCGGGGAAAGGAAGGGGTGGTGTTGTTTGTGCAGGGGGAGAGAGGGGGAGCCAAACCTAATCCCTCCCTCGCCCCCCTCCCATCCCCTCCCCCTCCCGGGCTATTTCCTAGAAAGCTGTATCAGTGTGGCCACGCTCGGCGCAGACACCTCGGGCGGCTTGTCAGCAGATGCAGGGGCGAGGAAGCGGGTTTTTCCTGCGTGGCCGCGGGCCGCGGAAAGACCGATGGTAGCCCTGCCCCCCACCCCCCGGCCTGCGGCAACTCTGGGCGCCTCTCCGCAGCTCCCCGTGGCGCCTGTAGCGCCCCCAAGAAGGGGAGGGTTTCTGCTCTAGGGTCACATTCTATCACGTCGGAGAAGCCGCCCCCTCCCTCCTAACACCCACCCCTTCCTCTTCTTCCTCTCCACACACACATGCGGGGTTGCGGGGGGGGGGGCGCTGTTCTGGCCCCTTTAATCGAGCTTTTGAAACAGCCTTGAAGTGATCAGGAACTCAAACGTCCGGACAGAGCCTTTATCTCTGGATAGCCAAGGTTGCTATTTTCTAAAATCGCTTTCCTTAGTCTTCACTTAAGGGGTCTGTCTCTAAATTGCCTGAGCCTACCCCATCTTCAAGCGATCTACCCCTCATTCTCGGAGCCTACATACATGGGCAGGAGTAGAAAGATCAATTTTGAGAAAGCCAAAGTTGGAGGGTCGCATTTTGGCACGATACACCCACAGAATGTGCGAAATTAGAGGGAATAAATAGAAATCGGTGTGTTTTTTTGTGGGTTCCCCTATCGGGGCCCCTGGCATGCAGGGCTGGATAGAGGGAGAGGGCCTCGGAGAGCTAAGGAGAGGGGTGGGGGGGCGGGGGACCGCGTTTGAAGTTAGGTCGGGCCAGCTGCTGTTCTCCTTAATAACAAGAGGGGAAAGGAGGGAGGGAGGGAGAGATTGAAAGGAGGAGGGGAGGAACGGGAGGGGAGGGAAGGGGAGGAGGAACCGGAGAGGGGAGCGAGGCGAGAGGGAGGAGAACTAACTGCCCAGCCAGTTTGCGTCACTGCCTCGCAGAGCAGAGAAGAGCGAGCAGGGGAGAGCGAGACAAGTTTGAAGGGGAGGGCAGGCAGAGTTAGCAGCCCCCGAGGCTCTCCTCTCCCACCGCCCATCCCTTTCCTCTCTTCTCCCCCAGCCTCTCTCTCTCTCTGCCCCATAACTTTTCTCTCGAAAAGCCCCTATTTAACCAAAGGAAGGAGGTAAGGGGAACCCTCTCCCCTCCCCCCTCCCAAAACCCCCCAACTTTTCCAGTCCGGAGAAAGCAGGGCAGCGAGCGGGCACCCGGCTGGCCATGGAGCTGCTGTGCTGCGAGGTGGACCCGGTCCGCAGGGCCGTGCCAGACGCCAACCTGCTATACGACGACCGCGTTTTGCAGAACTTGCTCACCATCGAGGAGCGCTACCTTCCCCAGTGCTCCTACTTCAAATGCGTGCAGAAGGACATCCAGCCCTATATGCGCAGGATGGTGGCCACCTGGATGCTGGAGGTAAGCCTGCAGACAGACTCTGTCTGTCCCCATCCGAATACTCGGCCACCCCCACCCCCACCCCGCAGGGACCCTAAAACTGGGAGAGGGCAGGCTCCGCGCTAGCCTGTCCGCTCCGGTGCGCGAGTTTACCCCGCGCCCTTTGGCGAGACGCGTGGCTTCGTTTCTGTTCCCTGCAGGATGCAAGACTGACTGGGGGAGGGGAGGGGGGAAAAGGGAGGGGGGAGGAAAATCTGGGAGAAATGAGGCTGTCCTGGGGCGGGGGTGGGGGAGCATCCCGCGCGCGTGTGCCTGCATGTGGCTGCCTCTTCTTCCCACCCCCATCCCGACCTGTCTTTGGCGAAGCCGCGGCTGCTTTCGGTGCAGTTGAAATCGGGGGCCCCAACGTAAAAAAAAAGCAGCCCCCCAAAGGCCAGAGCAAATTCGCCCTAGCTTCAGGTCCCCGCATGTGGTCGCGACTCCGCGTTGGCACTTAAGGGGGGGGGAGGGAGGGGGAGGAGGGAGGAGGAGAGAAACGGAGAATTCAGGAGCCCCGGAAGTCGCAATGAAGAAACGTGTGTTTTAGGGGAACCCAAAAGAACCACTTCTTCACCCTTGCTCCAAATCTTTGCCGAGCAAGCCGTGTGCCCACGTATGCACAGCTCTGGACCTGCCGTGGTTTCGCCATGTTGCTTTGCAAACTCCGGTTGGAAAGGCTGGAAAACGTCGCCCGCCTCCCTCCCCGCACCCCGTTATCCCGGCCACCCCACTTGTAATAGTGCCCTCTCCCCCAACCCCCACCTCACGAAGGTTACTTACAGTTTGGCTTTCCAGGTTCCTCGGTGCGGAGATTTGGGTGGGGTAGGAAGAGGGGGGAGGAGGTGTGTGTAGGGGGGGATGTCGGGGCACCCCTAAAGGAGAGGTCAGAGTCCCCCGTGCCTCTCTCCGGCGGCTCCCCGTTCCTCGGCTTTCCCCCAGCTCGGCACCACGGTCCCCAGTTTCTGCCCTTGTGGGCCGCAGCCGGACACTCCCGCCGAGACGCTCACCCCTCCAAGTTTCCCCTCGGGATCCAAAGCCCTAGGGGTCGAGATACAGACCTTTCCGGCACCCGAAACCTCCGTTTCGGGAAGCCTGGATCCTCTTTGGGGTTTTCACGCCAAAACGGCTTTTCTAGGATATTTCCTCGATTTTTAATTATTTTTTGAAACCGTCTCCCCATGCCCCGAGTCCAGCCGCCGAGGCTGCGGCTCTTCCTCCTCTCCTCCCTCCCCCTCTCTTCCCCAGCTCTCCCCACCCACCCCCCCAATAGCGGCGTCTGGGTCGCAGGGACCCCCCCGGGCATTTTTTCCAATTGTCGGGAATGATAGAGCAGGGTCTGGGGGTCCGAATGAGACCAAGAAGAAGACCCCCGGAGCTTTCAGAATATTTTTATTGATTTTTTGAAAAGATGACGAAATCCAAAAAAGAGAGTGTGAGTGAGTTAGAGTGAGCAAAGAAGTCAGTAGCCAAAGGGAGCGTCGCCGAGCCGGCGGCTACTGCGCATTTGTTTGTCTCCTGGGTTCGGATCTTCCATTCACCTCCTTTTTTACGTTCCTGGGGAACACCCCAGGGCGGATGGACTCTTTAGATTTTCTCCGTTTTCCTCGTTTTTATTCTTATCACATATTCTACTCCCCTCCCCCTCCCCACTCAAGAATTAAATATTTTTGCTTGTTTCCATAGGTTATGCCTTTTCTTTCTCTCTTTCTTTCTTTCCTTCTTTCTTTCTTTCTTTCTTTCTTTCTTTCTTTTTTTCTTTTTTTTGTCTTTTCCTGGTACTATTCCCTTCACCCCCCTCAACCCTTTCCCCGCTCCCATTGTAGGTCTGCGAGGAACAGAAGTGTGAAGAGGAGGTCTTCCCTTTGGCCATGAATTACCTGGACCGCTTCTTGGCTGGGGTCCCAACTCCTAAGACCCATCTGCAGCTCCTGGGGGCTGTGTGCATGTTCCTGGCCTCCAAGCTCAAAGAGACTATCCCTCTGACGGCAGAGAAGTTGTGCATTTATACTGACAACTCCATCAAGCCTCAGGAGCTGCTGGTAATGACCCTCTCCTTTCTTCCCCCCTTGCTCTTCGTCCTTCCATCTTTGCTCTCTCCAGGCCTGATAAGCTTCTACCCACTGCTCCCCAAACAAATGCTTTGGATCCCAGATTACCACACCGCTGGAATTTTCACATTTTGGGAGACAACGCTTTTAATATGAAATTTTTTTTTTGTTCCTACTGTGTTCCAGGCACTGTGCTAAGCACTACGGTTACATCCATGAATAAGATCCCCCGAGACATTTGTGTTGGTGAAATTCATTTGCAGTTGTGTGCCCATGCGTGCGTGTGTGCGTGTGTGCGCGCGCGTAGGGGAGACTTGGGACATAGTGATAACCTTTTAATTAAATTCCAAATTTTCAACCACAGAATTCTGAGAAATAGTTCGACTTCTCACATGGTAAGAATGTCTTCACATGATAGTGTTTTGTGATGTGTCTCCTAAGAATCCAGAGTTCAAAGGTCCTATGAAGTCTCAAGATACCGAAAGATACCTGTACATAGTAGCTGTTCACTAAATATCATCACATTGACTTTTGACCCAAGTCCAAATTTGGTGTTTTATTGGAGGAATCTGAGGCCTGGGTTCCTAGCTCCAGTGGGGCGGTGACCTCTGTCCCATGACAGGGGTCTTCTCTTGACTCTGGTTTTCTGCCAGCAAACCCCTCCTCTTCCACCCCAATCTTTTTCCCTGCGGCTTCACACCAGGCATCCATGTTGCTGCAGTGTGGAACGGTAGGGTGGCTCCCAGGCCCACCTTCCTTGGTTTGCACACCTTTCTCTGCACTGTTCGCAAAAAGGGGCACCCCTCTGACCGCCCCTCCCCCTCTTCACTGGCGAGGCCTGCACAAAGTCCACAGGGCTCGGACAGGCTGGTAGAACTGAGCTCTTTGTGAGAGGCCTCCCTTTCTGGGGCTGTGCTGCCATCTAGTGTCAGACATGTGCAAGGACGGGGGAGGAATTGCGGGGAATGTCGAGAGAGGGGGCATGAATGACTTCACCTTTGAACCGCTGCCAGATTTCAGCTGCTTCTGGTTTGGTCCGGGAGGCCCAGAAAGGTGCTTTCTTCTGGGAGATCTGCTTCCTTTAATAATAGTACAAGAAGAGTGTTTTAGATTCACATTCCCCTGTGAGAAGAAAAGGCTGGAATTTCAAGCCATCTTAGAAGACATGGGCTGTTTAGTAATTTTGTCTTTTTTTCCTCCCCCCGCCCCCACACCCCAACCCTCTGTAAAAAGCCAAGGCAGACTTTAAAGCATGTAAAGAAATTGTTAGAATTCGTTATTAGTTTGTTTTTCTCGTGGGAGACCAGGAAAATGAATCTTCCATTTGGTTTGTTTATTTCAACATGATGGTGGACAATGGTGTTCTTCAGGACACCCCAGTTTTTTCCAGGACCAGCCAAGCTAATGAATATTGCTTCACAAAACCCTGCCTGTGTTTTCCATTCCCTATCTCTTTATCCCAGAAGCTGGGATCCGGAGAAGTCCTAGTTTACACTGGAGAAAGCTGGGGTCCAGCAAGGGGAAGGGAGTCGCCCCAGACCACACAGCCTCTTAGTGCTTCAGGAGGGGGCTGGGGCTCTGGTTCCTGGCTTAGCAAATGGAAGAGAGCCTGGGGGGTTTTAGGGCAAACGCGGGAGCAGGGTGGTCTCTGCATCTCTTTCTTCTGAAGGCAATTAATTGGATAGGCCCGTTTTCCCTCTGACGGCACATAATTTTAGGGTTTCTTTTTGGCTTGTTTTACTTTCAGCACAAGTCCCCAAATGTATCCCGATAAGGGAGAGAAGAAGTTTTTCACGAGGTGGGCTGCCCGTGAGAGTCGGGGTTGCATTGTCCCCCCTTGGCATTGAACGGAGGGATTCCGTGGCCCGTGCATAAGCACTTTCACTTTGCCCCAATCACCTCCTGCTGCAACGTGGGGTTACTAATGCCTGTCCAGTGGGTCCTTCAGTCATGATGACAAAGGCCTATGAAACATTTAGGTGAAAGGGCACTCTGTGGGTGGGTGTCTTTTCCCCAAGACTTACGCATTATGCGTGGAGGGGAAAGTTTTCAAGCAGAAAAGAAGGGCACTTTTTGGCACCAGCTACAAGTCAGCTGATTGGTTGCCCAGGAGTTGGGCCCAGGAACCTTAGTTTGACCTTTATCTGTGTACATCATTTTCCTGTGAGGATTTAAAAAACTATTAGTCCAGCGATAGAGACCTAGACAACAAATGACTACCTAAGGGCCACAATGACCTTAGCAGTATCTTTTCGCAGGTTCAGCTTTCTGGGTGGGCAAGCATCAGCACTGCCTGTAAGTCAAGGTTGGCGGGAGTGGGGAAGCCAAGAGGATAAGAAATAGGAGAAAACAGTCTTAGCAATAGATACCTGGGTTCTCCCTATTGCCGGTCCCGCCTCCCATTGGAAGCCTAAGAAGAGAGGTCAACAACTACCAAGCTTTGGGGGACACTTGACAAATGGGCCCACCTCCCCATCCAGCAGCGTCCTCATGAGCATCCTTAAAACCGATCTGGATCCCCACCCACGCCCACCCCTGTCCCAGACAGGACACCAGGTCCACCTTTGGGTTTTATACTCTTTTCTTCCTCCCTCCCTTCCTCAGGAGTGGGAGCTGGTGGTGCTGGGCAAATTGAAGTGGAACCTGGCCGCCGTCACCCCTCACGACTTCATCGAGCACATCCTTCGTAAGCTGCCCCAGCCGAGTGAGAAGTTGTCTCTGATCCGCAAGCATGCGCAGACCTTCATTGCTCTGTGTGCCACTGGTAGGAGCAGGCTGGAGCTGGAGGGGGCCTTGGGAGGGGCAGACGCATGCTGAAGATGCCCTTGTGGGGGGGGTCAAGGAGGTAGGGAGGTAGGGAGGATGGGGGTACTCCCTGGTATGGGCCTGAGGGGCTTAGGAGACGGGCTGTGTTTTCCCGACTATCTGAGCTGGTATATTCTTTTTTTCTCTGCTAAACTCATAAATGGTTTACGACGACAGGTGTGGTAAGGGGAAAAAAAAATACGGCCTGTAAAAATAATTCTTTATGATGTCTAAAGTGCTCTTTGAAGATTATATATACTGCTCTCTGGTTGTGTTTAAATCTTTAATCTTTTGAGGAAAAGGATGGCTTGGAGATAAGCCCAAGAGGAAATTTGGGGGCTGGGGGCAAATACAGGTTAAAGGAACACTGTCAAGATAAATACGAAGCTTGCCCTGATAAGGGAGGCCAAAGGAGTTCTTTTTACTGTAGGACACATATGTGTAGCTGTTCCCTCTGCTGGCGGGGGGAGTAAACCCTGCTGGCTCTCAGCAGGGACTCAGGTTCTCAGCATTAGGGTCTGATGCCTTCGCTTCAAGTGCTGGTGTTTTGATTTTGGTTGCAAGCTCTAACGTAGCAATCACGACTGGCTTTTTCATATTAAAAGCTTTCCACCCACCCTGTTGATCCCACAGTTGATACATAGTTCTTACTGGCCCATTTGCTTTGCACTTCCCCTAATAAACTAAAGGCAGTGGTTTGACACTGTCTCATGAAACTGAACCTTGGCCAGTTTCTACCATTGTTTTCCTGGTAGTGACCATGAGAGAGATCGTGGAACTTAATCTTCCAGGGGAGAGACACTATAGGTGAAGAACTGACCATCTGGGCAGATCTTTGGTTTCGGGGTGGGAGGTTGGTGGGTGAGTGGGGAGGGCTGGGGTGCAGAGAGATCAGCCCCAGTTTGCCAAGAGCTGTTGAATTTTATAGCTGGGACTCGTGGGGGAGTTAGGGGGTTAACTTCTTTCAATACCTTGTTACATGGTATTCATGAGTTAGTACAGACAGATCACACAGTAGGCCAAAGTGTGCATGCTGTGTTCTCAGTCAAAAGGTCAGGCTTTGCTACTTCTCCCTGGATGACCTTGGACAGGCTGCTTCACCTCTCTGAACCTCAGCTTCCATCTGCAAAACACGTCTGTGGGTACGTGATCTGTACAGGCTTTTCAGGGTATTTAGGAGAAGGAAAATCAGAAGGAGACGCCGGTGCAAGGAGGTGCTTTGTGAGCCCAGGAATGTGTAGACAATGTGTGGTGGCACTCTTTGTGAAAGCACCCCCATCTCGTACTCAGAACTTCATCCAAGTCCAGCAGGATCCCTTGCTCTGCCTTCGTGGGCTGGAGTGTCCCCAGGTACCCACACTGGAAGCCCGAGCATGGGTTTTTTCCACAGTCTTGCCCTTCCTGATCCAGACCCGTTCATCGGTTCCATGGCGTGTGTGTGTGTGTGTGTGTGTGTGTGTGTGTGTGTGTGCGCCCTATGCCCCTTTGTGGGAGAGTGAGCTGCCCTTCCCGCAGCCCTGAGGGGCCATTCTTTGGAGCCCCCCTGGACAGTAGCCATTCTTCTGCTTCCTCTCTTCTCCTTCTGTCTGGCCCGGGGCCCTAGAGGTCAGTCCCTCATTGACTTGTCATTTTGTCTCCCAGGCCCTTCCTCTCCATTGTCATGATTCACTGTGGGGGAGGAGTCAACCCGTCCTTTTTTCTCTGGCCCTAGGACAGCTGACCCCTTGACCCTAAGCTCCCCCATTGCCCAGCTGTTAGCCAGAGTTCTGCTTTGACCTTGTCTCTTGACTGACAGATCTTTTGGGGTCTGTCCACCCATCCCTCCATTCTCATCTCTGTTCGGGGTAAAGATGATGGGTGGAATTATCCAGGCATGGGTAGATCTCCAGATTCTGTAAAGGCTCGTTCTCCAAAATTGGGGCCCCACTTCTGGGCTCTTGCCTAGATCCTTGGGGTGGCTGCCAACTTTTTTGCCAGAGTAAGGAGCCTGGAACTCAGGTCCTGAGGACAGAGGTCTGTCAGAGGCAGGGGAAGACACAATGACTGCCTTTTGGGAGACTTGAGCTAACCTTGGACAGGAAGTGAGGAAGGATAGAAGGAATAACTCCAACCGAATGAAAACCACAAGCCTTAGGTACTAAGGTACTAAGTTTTAGGTGTGGACTGGTCAGACAGAGGGGCGTTCTCAGAAGTTTCCTGAGTCTGGGAAGGATGGGTCTGCCTCACAAGGCTTTTCTTCCTTGACCTGTGCGTGTGTCTGTATGAAGGACCGGGTTACATGGCAACCTCACAGTGTGGAGTTTTATAGCAGTTGGCTCGACAGTATAAAAGCCAAGGGCTGCTTTTCTTGGAGGAAACATCTCCCACTTAGAGGAGATACTGCATTTGGGGGCCGGGGGTGACAAATGGTTGACTGCCTAAGACCGTCTGGCAAGTAGTGGGCGCAAGTAACAGAGAACCAAAGGTAGGTGTGACACCGAGACCGTCCTGTCTGCGCCAGGTGCCTCACAGCCCAAAGCCGAAGAGGCACCTGGAGCCTGGGTTTGCAGGCCTACAAGGCCTACATTGGAGATGATGGCCAGCCCTGAGGCTGTGTGGCTAGTTGATGGGAAAGCTGGTTGTGAAAGAGCTGTCAGTTCCCTAGTCTGTGTGGGGAGTGCATGTGTGTATGTGAAAGGGGAATAGAGAGAGGGCAGGAGAGCAGAGAGGGGCTGTGAGAAGGGGAGTGAAGCTGCAGTTTTCCTCACAGGCTGGACGGTAAGATGGTGGCCAGGCCGAGAGGCGCCCTCCTGCCCCCTCCCTCCTCAGCTCAAAATGGCTTCTGGTAGGACAGAGTGCCTCCAACTGCCCAGTGTCCCTGTCAGAGCCAGTCATGGTCCACAGGGGCACTGAGGTGAGAAACAGACCTTCCTAACTGCCAGCCCCTGGCATCCACCCCCTTTCCTGAAGCTTTTGATCCTGGGGAGGCAGAACTGAGCCTTAGTGTCCACCTGGTTGTAGCTCTGATGGTAGAGTCCCCCAGGTCTGCAGATGAGGAAAGAAGGACCAGAGAAGATGACTCAGGATTGCACTCTCGCACTGGAAGATTCTTGATGCATGATATCATGCTCAACAGATGATTCCAGTTAGTCTAGAAAGGCGATGACCTTGAGTTTGAACTTGGTGTGGAGGTGGGGTGGAGGTGCTTAACCTCCCGACCCGGGGCACCCCACATGTCTCTCTTTGTGCCTCGGGCCGCACCTCAAGGTGCTGGGCTAAGCTCTTTGCTCCATGCACTTGAGTAGTCCCGCCCAAGATTCCTGACGCCAAGACCCGAGCCCTAGTGATGATGATACCCCTTGGGTTTCCAGTCTTCCTGGCTTTCCCTAAAGAAGATTCATGACCTTCCATCCTGAGGTATAATCATAGCCAGGACCTGGAGAGGGTAGGTGATGCAGCCCCTTATCCAAAAAGGGAGGTGTGCCCTAGTGGTGGCCAAGTGGGGAGACATTAGACCACCTTCCCATCTCAGAGCCCCCGCACCCTTTCTGCTGCTGACAGGGCATGGAAACTAGAGGAAGTGGCTGTTCTTCGGCAAGTGCACCTCATGGGTCAGGCAGTGGGACAGGGTTCTCTCAGTTCCCATCTGGCCGTAAAATGAATGAGGAGCAGGCTGCTTGCTGTTCTCCAGCCGTTTCCCTCCCTCCCTCCTCCCACCAAGGTGCCACATTGGCATCCCTTTGGCGAGGCATCCCGGGGGTGGTGGGTGAGGTGTGTGCCACCCACATCATCGCTGGGCCAAGGAGCACCCGGGATCCTGGCCTTTTTTAAATTCCACCTTGGTGCAGGTTGGAGGTGGGGGAGAGGTGGGGGAGATGGGAGACTAGGTCTTCTGGTTCTCGTCAGCCTCAGAGCAGATCTCTCTCGCCCCCTAGTGGTGATTCAAAGCACAGAGGTCACTCTTGGACTTCAAGGTCTCCATTCCTATAGCCAAAACAATCCGTGCTGAACTTACAGACAGGGCCATCTAATCTGTGGTTTCAACCCAGTTTAGCTCAGAGCTCTTCAGTGAAATCTTACCAGGGCGTGCAGATACCAAGTCTGACTATGAAGCCCTCGCTGCTCTGTTCCAGATTACAGAGCCCAATGGGGCCCTGGTAGTGTCTATGGCGGTCTTGGGAAGTTAAGTGGGCTATGCAGGTCACACAGCTTGCTGGTGCCACGGCTAGGACCTATCTCTGACCAGGGCTTGCTTTGGGGAGCTTTTCTGGCACTGCTGATAGGAAAATATCCCAGTTTTCCTTCGTGGGATGTGGGAGGTGGCCTTAAGGAGCTATTCACATTCTGTTAAGGTCTAAAGAGCACTGGGTTCATAGCTCAAAAGCTTCACCTTAACCCCAGGCCCAGGGTCAGGCATTAGACGGGTCAAGAATTCATAGATTCAGGGAGCCTGGGTGGCTCGTTTGGTAAAGCACCTGACTTCTGATCGTGGCTCTGGTCATGATCGCAAGGTTGTGAGATCGGAGCCCTGTGTCAGGCTCCGTGCTGGGCATGGTGTCTGCTTAATATTCTCTCTCTCCCTCTGTCTCGGCCCCCTCCAGTCACCAGCCCCCCAGGCACTTGTACTCACACACACACTCTCTCTCTTCCCCCCAAAAAAGAAAAAGAATTCATTGATTTCACCTGTAAAATGAAGTGTTTCGAAACTGATGAGTTTTACGTTGGTTTTTATTAATACTTCACCACTACTACTTGGATGAGTAAGCAATCAACAGAGCTGGGATTCCCCTAAGGTGTGCCCCTTGCCTCCCCCACCTCCCCAGGAGGGAGGAGGTCGTGTCAGAGGCTTCTAGTATGTGGGCATTGTTCCTTTGCTCTGGGCAAACCACACCTGAGGGAATATGGGGACACTGGGAAGGGAGTGGCCGACTTCTGTCTTCCATTTATTGTATAGGGGCCGTCGGTTTCTCCCACTTCTGACAAACCAGCGCGAGGCTTCGGGGACTCGATGAGGTCACTTCTGGGATGGAACACAAGTGATAGTGAAAGATGCTCTAGGCAGCACAGAGCCCTCATTCTTCCCGGCGGTCTCGGCACGGTGGGGCTGCTGTCAGCATCCGCCTGGAGCCCCGGGATACAGGGCCCTTCCTCCTCAGGCCTGCTGATGCTGAACCACATCTCCCAGGGGTCGGGATTACCCCTCACAGTCCCATAGAAGGTTCCCGTGGTCAGAATAGCGGTGGTAGGACACTGCTTGCTTACCAGGGGCCAGGCACTGTGTTTTTGCATGGATTATTTTAGTCCCATCCTCAGAACAACCCTACGAGGTGGGTCCAGTTATTCTCCTGATATGCTGGTGAGAAGATGGAGGCTCAGAGAGGTCAAGTATCTTGCCCATCTTCACACAGTGGGCTGGTGGTAGGACATCGGCCTTCCCATACTTCACCTTCCAGCTCTCCGAGCTGCTTGGCCCAAATTCTTCCCATGTCCTCAGATAGTCTTTATAAGTATCTTCATGCTTCTGTTCCCCTAAGCACCCCCTTTCTTTTGAGAAGTTTCTTTACTAGCTACCCATGCGGTATGCACCTCGCCATCTAGAATGCCCCGTATGCTGTGTTCTGTTACTACGTTTTTATATCTGGGGTGGGCGGGGTGGAGATTAATCCTTGCTTCTGGGAACGGGGAGGAGCACTTGTGATGACTCTGTAGGAATGGATCACTGGTCAGTTAATTGCCTTTTACTCAGCTGCGGAGGAAGGAAGGTCTCAGAAGTCACCTCTTACCATTCCGCGTGGGCAACGGAGGGTAGATGTAGACCCTCACCCCTGGATATGCTTTTTGCAACAAGATATAGCTTGTTGGTATTTTTGACCAAGAGAGGTAAGAGATTTCTGAGAGATTATTAGTTGGTATTTTATTTTTGCTGAAATAAAATAGTATTAGGAGGAAGTTTTACACAATTACTTCTGTTTCTTCCATATGTTTACATACATTTTCTATGACTCCTACTTCTGTCACCTGCACGTGCACATGTGTATTTTTATTCATATATTTCTGGAAGGTTGTCATCTTGGTCATAGCTTGCGTGCATGATGTTTGAACTTTCTGCCCACTCCCCCTGGCCAAGTGGATAAGTTTGAACCCTCTTCAGTCCAGTTACGTAGCCAAAGTTTAAAGTTTCCAGGACTGGCTGAGTGGGTTGGGTGAAACTTTCCACGGGTGAGTACAGAAGTGAGGTAACTAGAGCTAGTACAAGGACACGACCCTTCAGATATTTTATTTGGGTGTTTTCCTCTGTGCTGTTTCCCCTACCGACAGGGGGGTGTCCCTGAGTAGGGTCCTGGGGCAGCCCCTGAGGCCATGTGGAACTAGCAGTGCTCTCTGCAGAGAAATGCCTTGTGACTTCCCCAGCCAGTGGAAGCCATGCTCTCTTCTATTGATGCTTGTTGCGTTTCTTGGGGGTGGTTCTCATTCTAGATCCTTAAGGACGAGCAACATAGAGCTGGAAAGCACCTGGGGGGTTAGCCAGCTCACAGCCTTCCGACTTATTGGCCTAAACCATGAAGAAAGAAAGGCATTTTATAACACAACTCAGGATATACATAAATGGACATCAAACTGCTACAAAAGTTTCTCAAGACAGTATTTACTCTTACTACATGATTACTTCCTGATACTTTCTATCCTGTTCTGTTCGGTTAAACAGCAACAAAAACAGCCCACAAATGGGTTTCATGACCCAACTGTGAGTTGCAGCTGGAAGTTAGAAAAACACAGATCCAACCCCACCCTCTATTAGACAAATGGAATGCCAGGCGCTGGAGGAGGCAATGACTCACCCAAGGTCCCACAGTCTGGACTCGGCTTGTAGTGCTAATGTGTCCTCCTTTGGACCTACCCAGAGGAGAGCCTAGCAGCTGCTCACGAAGCTTGAGAAAGTCCCTGGTTTGCTCCCACGGTGTGGGGCAGAGGGGCAGCGCAGTGGCTGCGCGGCTCCTGTAGCTCTTCTCTGGCAGGGGGAGCACTACCCAGCCTGAGCTGCCCAGAGGCAGCTAGCTTCTCGTACGCAGTGCTCCCCATTTCTGGAAGGCAGAGGACAGTAATCCCAGGAGGAGGCCCCTCAGCGTTTTCCTAAGCAAAACACAAAGTGGGGAGAGAAGGGCGGGGGGAGATCCAGTCCTGGCAACTTTAGCACCTGCCGCACCCAAGGACCACCCGGATATACCCCCTGGCTTCCAGAAGTTAATTAGTTTGCTAAAATTAGGAGTCAGTTTTGCGTGCAGTTGGACAACAAAAGATAGGCATGTGTGAGGTGTGCTTCCTGGTCGGTGCCTGGGACAGAGGAAAGGGAGGGCCAGGGATATCCTCCTGTCGTTCCCTGCCAGATGCTCCCACCCAGGGCCTTTGTGGGCCCACGGCCATGGGCTGGCTGCCTCATCTGCACTGTGAATGTCACAGGCGGAAGCTAACGAGGTTATTGGGCAGAGAAACACTCCTGTGAGCCCATGTGGAGGAGACCTACAGCAGAGCAGGAGGCAGGGAGGCCGCCTTTGGCACCGACCATGGGGGTAGAGAAGGCAGGGGAGGAGTTAGTGGACAGCAGGCGTGGGGCAGAACGCTGTGATTCGCATCCCTCAAGAGGCAGAGATGGGGAGTGGGCTAAGGAAAGAAAGCCAAGGAGAAAGACAGACGGACAGACGGCTGGGCTTGCTCTGTTCGTGGGATCCGGCCAAGATGGGAGGTGTGGGCACGGTTCAGTGGATCGGCAGAGTCACTGAGAACACCACCAACTTGATGCTGGACAATGGGGTCACCATTAAAGCGCTTTAATGGAATATGTCGTTTAACAAGGCATGGCACAGGAAGAAGGGGAAATACTAGGGTACACTCCTTTAATAGTTCAGCCTAGTGGTGATGCTGTAATTGGAAGTGTGACCCATGTCCCCCTTCTGTGTCTCCCTCCTGCCTGCCCCCTTGCACAGCTAGAGGCCGTGAACTCTGGGGTAATGCTAGAAGCAGAGGTAACACACTGGAGGATTTGCTCCACTCCAGGACTGACCAGAGACAGTGACAGGGTAGCGTCCTTCCCATATGAGCACAAGGCCCAGGTAAGGGCCCTTCCAGCCCTCAGAAGTCCGCCCCTTCTCCTCCCCCACGTGAGGGTAATTGTGCGCAGCTTATGTGGTGCATTCGTGGGTTACGGACTTACGGACGGGACTGTGCCCGTGGGTCATTAGCAGCTCTTAGAAGCAGTCACAGCACTCAGGTGGGGTGTCGTCCTCTCCTCCTGGTAACTGGGAAGTAGGTGATCTTGGTCACCTGGCTTCTTTGCAGGAGCGCTCAGAGGAACGGGAGGTGTTTGGTCTCCCAAGCTGAGCCAAGCATAGGAAAATCCCCTCTGTTTGCTTTTGGAGAAATGAAAATGGATGAGGGTTTGAGCTCCTTAAATTTATCCTCATTTTGTACTTCTCTTTAGCGAACTACTCTTTTTTTTTTTTTTTCCAGCCAGAAAATGGGAACTTTGGGCCCAAGAGCCATAAAATCTAAACCAAGTCACCCATCTGATTAGGGTGCAGTGGTGCATACTGGGTACCTGCTTTCTCTCCTCGTGTTCTAAGGGCCCTTGGCATTGGGGCTAGAAGTTGGGAATTGTGTGAAACTTGGCCTTCATCCCCTCCAATACTGCCTCTCTCACTTCCTTTTTTTTTTCATTTGTTTGTTTAAATAAAGTCATCTTTTGTTTTGGGCCGTATTAGTCCTTGCTGACTGTCCACAAAATAATAGGGCAAGGTAACATCAGGATTATTGGTCTTCATAAAATTGTACTCACTTGTATACTTTTCCTGCCTTCCACCATCTAGATCCTTTGGTCTGTCTCACTTATATGGCACCTGAGAGATTCATCTCTGACCTCCCTGCTCTGCTCCTGCCATGACCCTCAGAGGGGAATGCATCTCACTCACCTTCCTGCCCCTTGTCCCAGACAGGGTTGTGGGGACCTGAGTCTTCTCTCTGATAATTCCCTGTGTGTACTCAGATAAGCTCTCCAGCTTCTCTCCCTCCATTTCCCCATTTGGTTTGGGACCTTCCAGAGTGATGGCAAATAAATAAAGGGTATCTTGGGAAGGAAGACTCAGGAGAGGACGTGTCCGTTTGTGAGGGATCACCTGTGCAGCTGACCTCTCACCATCCTCTTTCTGAGTATCTTCAGGTTGAGGACCCCCGGATCCAAATTATTCCTGGGCCTTGAACCTCTGCCTCTTGTTCTCACAGACTTTAAGTTCGCCATGTACCCGCCATCGATGATCGCAACTGGAAGTGTGGGAGCCGCCATCTGTGGGCTCCAGCAGGATGAGGACGTGAGCTCGCTCACTGGCGATGCCCTGGTCGATCTGCTGGCCAAGATCACCAACACGGATGTGGTAGGTGGACGCCATCTTCTTGGTTAAAACCAGATAGCTCTTTTCTCAGCTCAGGGAAAGAGACACTTGGCTTGATGACGGTGTGTTGGAGGTACTTTTTAAATTTTTTTATTTTTGATGGTGGTTTCTGTTTTCCAAGATCCATCCTCCCAGTACAAAATTCCATGGACGAGACTTCCTCCTAAGGTTTTGAAAGCCAGTGTGCCATAAAATAGAGAAAAGAACCTAGCAAACAGATACGAGGTAGGAGGAGGGCTGTTTACTAATTTTCCTCCGTGGGCTTCCCCGTGGGTCTGAAGTGTTGCTTCATTTCCATTTATGTACATGTCCTCAGACTGCCTCTCCCCCACATTGTCAGGCTCAGGCTCTGCTTACACCCACTCAGGCGGAGACCCAGTGGAGAGAGGGCTGGAGCCCCGCTCTGCTTCACTGGGGGGTGGGTGGTATAGGGATCCAAGAGGTGCCCCACCTCCAGCAGGGTGTCTGGCCTTGACACACCTCTCAACCCCACCCGCCTCTCACTTCCCTTTTGTTTAATGTGGTAATGGATTAAGAAGTACTTCTAAGAGAATAAAGGGCCATAGTAATTCAAGGAACTATTATTAGCTATAGATTTTTCCATTCTTGTGCCGGTGGACTGCCCAGAGACTCTAACTCTGCTTGCCAGAATTTGCAGCTCCTTAGAAGAAAGGTCTTGAGAGACCAAGGTCAAGCGAGGCTCTGATTCAGCTGGTAGAAAACAGCAGTCCTTAGCAGGTCCAAGCCAGGGTGGCTCTGAGAGGTCAGAGAGACCGCTCCTGTGTCCTCCAGCCGAGGCTTTCCATGGGAGGTTTGGAGAGGGCTGGGTAACTGGCTGGGGGAGGGGGGAGGTCAGCTGTAGAGCCCGGGCTAGAACCTGGAAGCTCCCACTCCCCCCACCAACCTGGGAACGTTGCACAGTTGCACACCAACCGTAGCTCCTGAATCTTTTTGTTTGAGAAAAGCCTCTGCTTTGAAGGCAACTGGAGAATCCTATCAGCCAGGAGACCCTGGGGTGTCACCATGGAGAAGCTCAAGATGCAGACAAGCTTCACAGTCCCCCCTCTGGATGCTCCAGGGAGATTCGGAATGCCTTGCTGTGCGACTAGATTGAGTTAAGAGATAACGGGGCGTACAGGCCTGTGGCTGATGCCACATGGGGATGCTGATGGGAAGGCTGACAACCCCGAGGGCCTAGGGCTGCAGCTTGCTGGTTTTCTCTCCTCTCTATCTGTATTCTGCTTTGGGCTTTATTACCACCTCAAGGAGGTGGTGCAGGGAGGTGGTGAAGGGCCTCATGGAAACCCAGGTTCCTATTCTGAAGCAGATCTTAGATACGCCTTTAAAATTCTAGGTCCCAAACAGAGGCTTTCCACAGAGGCCTGTGCTACCGTCTACTACATGGTTCCCAAAACACAGCTCGAGAAGACCCCTTCCAGTGTGCTTTGCGTGAAGAGTGCTTTCCTAACCCTCCAGAGGCAAATCTGGGACAGAACGTAACGTTTATAGAAATGATGAGCTTCTTTCTTTTCCTGACTATCTCCTATTAAGGTTGCCTAACAAAAAGGACTCCCAACAGCAACCAGTTTAAGACAGGCTCTTCCCCGATCCCCAGAGACAAAAACGTCAGTGACAGCAGTTTGACCCCCCAAGCACTGTAACCTCTTTCCGATTTTTATGGACTTTGCCCTGGTTGGCTGGTGGCCCCACAGGCTCTGGCTTTCTCCCACATATTCCTTTCTCACCCCTCATTGGCTTCAGATGGACAGAGGTCACTCTGGAGGTGCCACTGAGTCTCTCCGGCCACTTTTCAAGACTTCAAACCAATTTCTCATCTTATACTGGAGAAACCACTTGCCCCTTTGAGATACTGTGTAGCTGGTGTATCGGTGTCAGTCAGCCGTCAGACCGGGTTAAATGAGTACAGAAGCCGCTAGAGGTCCCCTGCATTCCAGCTGCGGAACTGGAGATGCATGGGGCCCTCATTCTTACCCATGGGCCTCCGGGTCAGCATTTTAGTATTAACAACCAAGCATGAGCAAAGGAGAACTTTTTCAGACAACAGTCTCAGACCTCTGTGAGTTCTAAGCTCACCTGTGGGCCCCAGAGGCTTGCTCACTCTCCCCCAGCAATGTTTTTAGTAAAAAGGCTTGAGTCATCTCGGGTGAGGCTGGCCACCTGTGCCTGACTTCCAGGAGCTGTAGGTCTCCTCGCATCCATCAGGCCGTGTTCTCTGAAGTGCTGAGGCTCAAGAGTGAAGGAAAAGAAAAGGATTGGAATTCAGAAAGCATCGGTATCTTGGGGGGAGGCAAGTGTTGCTTCCTGAGCCCATTTACCATTTCATGAGTCAAGAAGCACTGTGTTGCAACCACTTCCTCTCCATTCATTTCTGGAGGGATTTATTAAAGGCTCACTTGTTGAAGACTTGCACGATGAGCAAGGCACGGAGGCAGAAATTCGGACCGGTGGGTCATGTATGGAAAATGGGCAGGGAACTGGGTGACTGTAAGGCAAATTACAAGTAAAGCATGCAAAACCCTAGCAAATTAAGCTCATCAGCAAATGAATGCAGAGGTGTTAAGAAGTATAAATGGAGGAGGAAAGCAGACCCAGAGGAAGGAGCTCACTAGGCCTAATGTGAAATGCAGGCTTCCTGGCAGAGGGCACTTGGCAAATAGGAATGTCCTTGAAATGGAGAAACCAAGAACGTGGTATGTATGTGCAGTGGGTTATGAGTCCGCCTTAAAGAGGAAGGGAAATCCGGACACACGCTGCAACATGGATGAGCCTTGGAAACACGTTCAGTGAAAGAAGCCAGATCCCAAAAGACACAGATGGGGCCACTTACTGGAGATACCTCACATAGTGGAATTCATGGAGACAGAAAGTTAAATCGGGGTTCCTAGGGTCCGGGAGTGGGAGGAAAAGGGAGTTCTTTAATGGGTATGGAGTTTTGCTTCAGGAGGATGAGAAAGTTCTGGAAATGGATGGTGGAGATGGTTATATGACAAAAGGAATATACTGAAGGCCACCGTACACCTGAGAATGGTGACGAGGGTAAATGTCACGTTTGGTTTATTTTGCCACAGTTGGAACATGGACACGCACACGCACACTGCTGTCAGACCCACAGTCTGAAATGCCCACAGGTTGGTGTCGAGCTCTCCCGTGGAGAAGTCAGGTGCACAGGGCCACATTCTGCCACACTGGCTGCGGCAGAATAGGACAGATGCGAACCAGGACCTGGAGTCCTGATGGTTCTGTGCCTGTCCCGGGCACCTTGTAATTTGTGACCTCCTCAAGCGGACGGTGTTCTCTGCCCACGTGTTGTCAGGGGCGGACTGGGGAAAGCGGGTCCCCTTGATTTCCTTTGAGATGGGCAGACAAGTGTCTCTAGCTCGCTGGCCAGTGGCAGATAGCTTTGATAGGAGGGACCCATGCGGCTCTGAGAAAGTCGGTCTTTGTTGCTCCCTCTGGTTGCCAAAATAAACCGGAACGCTTCATTCCAAAGAGAAAGCTGAGTGAGAAGCCTGACAGTTTTACGGGGAATAAAAGTCTCAGAGGGTGGTATATTTTAAGTACTTTTTCCTTCCAGTCATAAGTGTTGCTAAAAACAGACGCCAGCCAGCGAGGCGGTGCTGGCTTTGGGGAAACTTCTACCGGGGCTTCCGTTGCCAAGGGTGAGTTTGAGAGGAGGGATCGAGCGTCCTGGTTCCCCGGTGAAACTTTCCCGGCTTTGCCGGGCAGAGTCGGGGTTCCTCTTCCGTCCCTCGGCACTCGGCTCGTGCTTTGTGCCAGCGTTTATCTCACTGTTCGCTTGTCTATAGAGCCTCTGGAACAGGACCCAACTTTTACTGCGCTCTTTATCCAGAGCCCCTGGCAGAGTCTCGGGAATGATGCTGAAGAGAGGGAGGGAAGCAGGAAGGAAGGAACGGAGGACACAAAGGCCAGGCAGATGGGCTTAGAGTGTGTTTCTAAGTCTTTGGTCTCTCCAGACCTTTGGAAAGCCCTATATTTCTCAGCCTTCATTACATGCCAGGGTCCTGAGCAAAACCCATCACCTTCACGTGCCACGGTTTTACAAACCGTCTAATAAAAACGCAGAAGTCACGCTCCTGGGCCATGGCGATGCTGTGAAGCTGTTGGGAGATAATTCAACGGAAGCAGACGCTAGTCCCCTGGTCACCATATTCATCCTTTTCTGTCCCGTTCTTAAATATCACCCACGGAAGATTCCAGGATGCCCCTCCCTTGGGCTCATCCTGGCACGTTAGGATCTTGGTTGTCAGTGAGCTGTTAAAAACCTGTTCGCTGTGCAGGGGAAGAAGTCTCGATTTTGACTGCATGCTCTGGGCTGGGGCCCCCAGCCCCGTCTTTGTCCTCTTTGGAGAGAAGCACCGACCCCCTCCTGACACACCTTCCCTTACTATGGGCCCCTGTATGGCTGGGGCCGACGGGGCCTGTGGTCAAGAACCTTGGGAAGAGTGGCCAGAGGGGAGGCTGGGGGCGGGGGGAGGGGGATGGAATAGAACTGGAGGCTCAGGCTCCCCTTTCCTGCCTTATTTCTTCTGCGGGCTTCATTTGGTATGCAAGGAAATAAGCCAAACAGCCTGTGAAGAAAGGAAGAATGAGATAGTTTCCTAAGTTGTCTCTGCCTGAGCTGGCCGCGGGTCTGGGGCTCATTCAGCCCTTTGTCCCCCCGTTGAGTGCACTGCGTGTGTGGTGACAATGGCGTGGTGCAGTTACACTGAGGGCTAATGGTCGGAGTTCCGTCAGCCCATTCATGGAGGCCGAGGAGGGTGCAGGGCGCGGAGCCCGAGCCAGCGCGCAGAGGAAGTCGGAGGCCCGTGTAACGAGCTGGAGATCACAAACAGGGCTGTCAGGGCTCTGGGGCTGGGGGGCAGGGGCCAGGGAGGGAGCCTATCATCCTCGGAGTTGGAGGTCTGCCCGACCTCCAGCGCTGTGGAGTGCCACCTGTCCAGGCTGACAGACGAGCATTATGGCTTTCCTTTTAATCAGCTTAATTTGGGGCATCTTAACACAATGACGGGTGCTTTCGGAGGCTGCCGGAAAGCAGAGGTCCCAGAGCCACTGCACTTTGCATGCACGTAGCATCTTTTCACAGGAGGAGCTGTGGTCCCCCCCCCCCCCCCCCCCCCCCCCCACCCCCCGCCCCCCAGCCCCTTGGGCTACGTCTCCCTTTCTTGGAGATTGTCTGGCCTGTAGGTCTTTCCTCAGAGCTGGGAAGAAGCAGAGGGTCTCCGGGGAAAGCGTTCTGAAGCTGGAGGCTTGCCCGTTTACAGCCAGGCTTAGCCTGTATCTCAGCGTAACCCGGGAACGAGTTCCGTAACCGGGCTTCAGTTCCGTTCTCTAGCTGCACAATGTGGGCGTGTGGCTGTGTGAGCTCCCAAAGCCCTTCGGACCCCCAGGTCCCCTGACCCTGTAATTGCCTCCGTGTGGCGTCTTGTGATTCTGCCCTTCGGAAATAACTATGATTCTGCTCTACTCCAGCTTTGCCTCCTTTTCTTTTCGGGCCTTTGAACTTGTCCCCCCTCTTTTATTTCCTTCTCTCAGCTTGACCTTCCAGCACGAGCAGCCCCGCTGGTTGAGGCAGGGTTCCTCCTCTCTTCAGGTCACCACTACCCCCCACCCCAGTCCCGTGCATGGTCCTGCCCTGCTGCTCGGGAGAGTGGGAGCTCCTGGGGCGGGAATGGGGGCCTGTGAGGGGTGGGCACATCTGGCAGCAGGTAGTAACACCACCAACACATTTCTCTTTCCCTTCGCTTTCCATCAGCTCATAGAAAATTCTCGTGCTCTTTGCAAGTCCAAGAATGGTTCATAATGGAGGGTGTTAAAATACCAGGAGTGAGTTCTGTCTCAAGGAAGGTGGGGTGCTGATTTCTCTGTCACCACCATCACAGAGTAGACTGACATTGTTCTTACAAGACAAAACCCGTTAAAGTTTTTTTATCCAGTTAGGAATGTGCGATCTGCACTTGAAACTCAAGCTGATGATAGCCAAGCTGTGAAGAAGGGGACCATGAAGGAGGGTTAGGCAGAGGCCCCAGAGAACCTTCCAGGAGTGAGGGACATGACTGGCCCCAGAGAGGCTTAGCTTCCTGCTCTGTCCCAGATGAATCTAGAAGAGAGCAGGGGCTGGGGTTCAGGGTCCCTCATTTCTGGGGTAACTACTGTAGTCCTTTATCTTTTCAAGTGGGAGGTATCATATCAAGAGCTGGCCATGATCAGTCACGGTTTAGATTGGAATGAAAACAGAGCTGAGGAAGAGTGTTTTATGTGAAAGCTTCCTTCATTTTATTCAGGAAAGCCAGTACCACATGTTCTTGGCTGGAACTTACATAAACGTGACCCTTGAGGCCTTTGATCTTCAGTCCCATGGCTCTGAAAGTCCCGTAGAGGTGACTGTCCAGTGTCCCAGCCTTCCCTGTAGGATTTTTTCCAGAACTATTCTTAGAGGTTTCAGGCTGCTGGAAGGGAAGGCTGAATGCCAGAAACAGAATCGTTGGCGACCCCAGAATGAAGACTCTTAACACATTTCCCAGATCAGGTTCTTTCACTTTCTTGAGCTCTGGCTCATGTGAAGGACCGTCTTTCTCAGGGATGCTGATGTGGCTAACGCAGTGATAATCATGGAGTCCTGAGTTGGTTGTATTTCTGGGGTGGAAGGTGGGCTGTCCCCGATAACCTTCCCATGGCACCGAAATACAGCCTCTGAGGAAGGAAAGCTGGACAGGATCCGTGGGAGGCACCAGGGTTCTCGCGGGGGAGGGTCTTCTACATGACCTTCTCCTTCACTTTAGGGACTCTTCTCCAAATGGCTGTGCCATGGGAAACCCTCTCGTTAAAGAGGCCTTGAGGCTGACACTTGACTGGCATTTCTTTCAGAATTTCATTGTTCAGAGCTATTGTCTGTCCCTCACTTACACACACACCATCCCTCAATCAGGTGGGAATCCTGCCACCCTCTGTAAAACCCTTTATGGCACACCTGAAACTAATAGAACACATGTATTAATTATACATTGGGGGAGAAAAATAAATTCTTTTTGCCATATGCTTGGGATAGAATTTGTCATCCCTGGAGGCAAGCATGCAGTTACCGTCCCTATGGTACGGAGGGGTTCTGACCCAACCCCCTGTCCTCCTAGAAAAAAAATCTTATAAACTTAACCTTCACCAGCTCCTGAAAGACCTCTGGAGCGGACGGACATCCTGTCACAACTGGCCGGATTCAACTCATTATTCTCTGTGAGAAAAAAGAAAGAGGAAATTAACATTCATTTAAATTCTGTAGCCCCTCATTTCTCAGTGAGGAGTTCAGGGGAATGGGGGAAGGCAGCGAGCACCTGAGATCTGAGACGGGGCGTTTGAGGACAGTGTTAGACTCCCTAGCATGGCCTCTGAGAACACGTCGGCTTCTTCAGACGGTGCTCAAATGGAGAGCAAGCCACCTATTCCAGTTTTGGAAGGAAAACCGACTGTGGGCCCTACCGTCCACCTGTGATGCAGGACCTTCCCAGGGAAAGTGGAGAGTCCTTTGCCTCAAGCTGTTGTTTGCCTTGTTGGCCCACACCAGCTTTATCTTTATTTAAGATCCATTTTCTTTAGATTGTAAGGCTTTTAGGTTTTCCACTATCTACTGAAATAGATGCGCCCTTAGAAACGTGATGGCTTTTGTCTTCACGATGAGCTCATGGGGCGAGTGGGGAGTGACCTGGGAGCCCAGCCCCTGGGTGTGTGGGCTTTGGAGGAGGCCCACAGGCAAGGTTTCCAGTCAGTACTTAGGGGGTCGGACAGGGTAGAGGATGAGACCGGTACACGCCACAGAAGTCTGAGAGATGTTGCCAGCCCCTGACAGCTCACTTATTTGGAGTGGCCCAGAGATCTCTGTGCCTGGGTTTTGTCTCTCTCATCCCATGAGCCACCCCCAATGCCATACCCACCGTGCTTCCTTCAGCAATCTGGAGCAAATGCTTATCCATACCTCATCTCTAAGAAATTGAAATAATTCTTTCAGCCTCCAGGATGGGTTTGTTGTTTGTTATCACAAGAAATGGGATTCACTTATTGAATTGAGCACCTTATCTATAGCACAAGAGGTCACCTTTACCCTATGAGTGTGTTTTGTCCTTATTCTACAAGTTGGGGAACAGATCCGAGAAGTGAAATGACCCCGCTGCTGTGGGTGGGTCGCAAATACGACTCTCCCTTTCTTCATTTGTCTCACATTTTGGGTGATACCCTGTCTCCGCCCTTCACAATCGGGCAGCTGTTGTTCCTAATTTTTTTTTTTTTAAGATTTTATTTATTTATTTGACAGACAGAGATCACAAGTAGGCAGAGAGGCAGGCAGAGAGAGGGGGAAGCAGGCTCCCCACTGAGCAGAGAGCCCGATGCAGCCTAATCCCAGGACCCTGGGATCATGACCTGAGCCAAAGGCAGAGGCTTTAACCAAGTGAGCCACCCAGGCGCCCTGTTGTTCCTAATCTTAAGTTTCGTAGAAAGCTGCAGTTTGAAATATGGCATGGACGAGATAGGAATGGAATATTTGGAGGCATGAAAACTGTGTCCCTTTATTTTAGATCTTCGGAAAATAAAGATAATGCTTTTGTGCTTGGCAAACAGTAGCCTCTAGGCTACAGTGAAAATTGCACAGTGAAACGAAAAAAGGGGAAGCCTAGATTAAGCTGTGGGAAGACCCCAACAGAGTCTATTTAACTTATTTTCCATGTAGATGCCCCGTGAGTTCAGAAAGGGAGCCAGGGGAGGGGGGCACGTATCTGCTAAGAGTGATTTTCTCTACCTTGAGCTGCTAAGTGTCAGCCCCCCTCCCAGTGACACCCGAGTGTGGCACATTCCATGGCACCCCACTAATGGAAGCTTCTGCCTGCGGCAAATTTATTCTGAATTTTCCCTACCAAATATAGACTAATATCAAACAATGCTGCAGATTCTTACTTATTCCCCAGTTGGACAGCTCCAATGTCCAGAGTTCTGTCAACATTCCGTGTTGCAGTTCTGTGAGAACTGAGGGCGGTAAGGAAGCAGGGAAAAGGAGGTTTTCTTTTTAAGAGCTTAGGCGGTTTCTTGAGCCCAGTTCAGTCCATTTCCTTCTTACCCATCCTCAGGTGCACCACCAGCCTAGCTCTGCGGCTCTGTCTGTGGCGCTGGCCTTCGCCTCGTCCCCGTCACCTCCCAGGGTCCAAAGCAGAAAGCCCCCAGTTGGCGCTGTGATGACGGGGTGCAGGGTGTCCGTAAAATGCTCAGAATCTTGGCCAGACTCTCACGCGCAATGGTCTCAACTGGGCTTCTGCCAAAATCCCGATTCTGTTTCGATGGATCTGGAATGGGCCGGGATAAGGGGGTGCCGATGTTGCCGGCGGTGCACCCCACTCGGAGCAGTGTGGTCCCACGGCTCTGCCGAGACACATCTTTCTATCGGGAAACCGGCACGTAGCGCGCAAGGCTTCGGCTGTGTGTGTTTTCTTCTTAAGTGCGCCGCCCACCGTTGGTCTTGCTCACAGCTCTGATCTGACCTCTTCTCCTTCTAGGACTGCCTCAAAGCCTGCCAGGAGCAGATTGAGGTGGTGCTGCTCAACAGCCTGCAGCAGTTCCGTCAGGACCAGGGGGAGGGGTCCAAGTCGGAGGATGAGCTGGACCAGGCCAGCACCCCTACGGACGTGCGGGATATTGACCTGTGAGGACGCGGTCGGGCCGAATGGGAGAGACGCGTTCACATCTGCTCTCTCCTTCTCTCTGGTTGTGTTTTGTTCTTTATGTTTTAGGATAAAACTTTAAAAACAAAAACAAAAAAAAAATTCTGCCCCCACCTAGATCGCATTGAAAGATCTTTTTAGAAGTGAGAGAAAAAGGTCCTATAAAAACGGAATAACTAAAAGCATTTGGTGCCTATTTGAAGTACAACAGAAGGGAATCCCTTTGTATATGCGAACAGTTATTGTTTGATTATGTTAAAGGTAATAGTAAAATGCTTACAGGAAAACCTGCAGAGTAGCTAGAGAAAATGTACGCCTGCAAATATGGGAACAAATTAGACGAGGCTTTTTTTTTTTTTCATGTTATGAACTAGCATGTACACACCCCTTGTAGGATAATTTCAAGGAACTTGCGTATGCCATTTATGGCATGATTAGATTGCAAAGCAATGAACTCAAAGAATTAGAAATAAGGGACACGATGGGGAGGGAGTACAAAACAATCTCTCAACCTGATTGAACCATTTTGGATGTAGAAGCCCCTTTGCTCTCGACCACCTGTTTGTTACTAAGTCTGGAGCATAGCTGACTCTAGTTACGAACTCTTGCTGTCTACAGTAGCTGCTACCTAAAAGAGATGTTTTATTTTGCCGGTTGGACACAGGTGATTGGATGCTGGGTTTCATGCGTTTTTGACATCTTGCTTCTTCTTCCAAACATGGTTCATTGCAGACACCACCATATTTTTATCAAAAGGGGCAATCTAGCTTTGGGCCAGAACCAAAACTCCTATGAGTTGGAGGCAGATGGAGACCAAGGGTGGGATCTGGAATGGAATCTTTTCTCTTAATGTATTCAAGAGGGCAATGTGACCTTGGCATCCTTTATTAAAAAACTGATTTTTTTGGTGCTGATTGGCATGTCTGGTCCACAGTTTAGCATTGTTATAAACCATTCCATTCGAAAAGCACTTTGAAACATTGTTCCCGAGGGATAGATGGGATGGTTTATGCAAGTCATGCTGAATAGACTCCTCCCTTCTTCTCCTGTGCTCCTCCCCTCCTGCCCAAGTCGGGTGACTATTCACTTCTGGTATCTGACATTCTCTGGTACACAGTTCTGGTATCCCTACCGGGACTCAAGAGACACCCCTTTCCACCGACATTCCCATCACAACATTCCTCCAAAAAGCCTACAAAGATCTGTTACCATTTCGATGGCAAAGAAGGATCTTAATTCCCACCTATATACTTCTCCTTTGGACATGGAAAGAAAAGTTACCGCTGGTGCAGACAGACAGCTGAATAGCAGAGTGTGGCATTTTGTTCCCTTTTCCGTTTTTCGTTAATTTCATTGCAAAGTTGTATTCAGCGTACTTGAATTTTTTTTCCTCTCCACTTCTTAGAGGCATTCAGTTAGCAAAGAGGTTGGAGCAACAACTTTTTTTTTTTTTTTGCACAATTATAATTGACAGGTAATGAAGCTATTAAAATATTTGCCTTTTTAATCAGAACAGGGCTGCTTTGAAGAATTATTTTATACACAGATTCTGCCTTGTTTCGTAGTATGAGGGTTGAAGATGGAGAAAAATCTAAGGTCTCTTATTTTTCATTTTATTGTGTTCAGTTTTTTATGATTATTTTTTTTTTTTGCGCTGCTAAGAAGCTAAGATCATTCATCCTTATTCACATTAACAGTACCTAGCTGTAATGTTTCACAGAGTGTGCTGCTATTTTATAAACATTTTTATAATATATTATTTTACTGCTTAAATTCCAAGTCCTGAAGTAGATGGTTGAGATAGGAGTTCTTCGTACTGGAAAAGCCCTTCCATAGTTTTTTCTTCTGGTAGCGTATTATGTTTTTTTTTTTTTTTCCGTTTTGTTTTGTTTTTTCCTTTTGTTTTTGTTTTTGGGTTTTTTTTTTGTTTTGTTTTTTCTCTCTCTCTCTCATCACATTCTTCAAAGACGGAGCATTCTTTACCTCAGGTTTACTGGACAAACTCAATAGCTACAAAAGAAAATGATTCACATTTTTATTTTCATAATACCTCACAACCGCATAGTTTCTGCTTGGGAGCCGTTAGTGTGGGGAAAGGAGAGGTCAGCGAGGAGGCCACAAGCCCCTCTCAGGTGGAGGGTGGGATGGATTTGGCCCTTGGGTCTGACACCTGGGGACCTTTTCAGTCATGAAGGTCATTAGGCTTCCATTTTGACTCCGGTATCCTTATCATGATGGAAAAAATACAATTGAACCAAGGGATTTCCCCTCCTCCCCCCCCCCCCCAGGCCAGATGTTCAGCACAAACATTTGTGCAGTGAACTAGGAAGTCATAATTTGCACTAGGTACGAGGTATCAGGAGACAAACAGAAGAACTCCAGCAGGCTACTTGGAGATCCTCATCTTGTGGCCCTTTCTTAAAGCAGAGCTTTCTTCCGCTTATCTCTCTTTCCCCTTTCCCGAAATGGCCATCCCCAGTTTAGGATCGTCTCAGAGGCTTTTCTAGGTCTGAATCTGTGGGCATATGAATCTGCCGTGCGCGGGATCACAAGGGTGCCTCCTCCCACCTGTCTCAGACCGCAGCCGGCCAGCCCCTCTGCTAAGTGGCACTCAGTGGTCTTCAGGTTGGGCATTGTATTGAACTGGCGTGATGGGGAAAATAGGTCAGATGAGTATGGGAGTGGGAGCTGGAGGGAGGTGGAGAGGCTGCGTCTCTACAGAGATGCCATTCTGGGTGAGTCAGTCTCTCTCGAAGTATGTTTGGAAGGGTTCAGGATTTGATGAGTTAGCACAACCCTAAAATTCTAGGGAGTTTCGGGTAGGACAGTGGGTGGTGAATTCTGAAGTTTTGGAGAGGAAAGCTGAGCAGCCAGTGTTTTGTCAAGAGCTCACTTTGCCTAGGACGCTCTTTCAGACCCTTGAGGAGTAACACAGAATGGAAGGAGGTATGGTCCCTAAGTCCTTAGGAGTCTTGGAGCCTAAAGAAAGCAAGGTACAAAGTCACTCAACAGTGACTTCTCTAACTAAGCTCAAACAGAACCTGATGAATAAGGAAGGGAAGAGGCTTACAGGCTCTCCCTGCAGTCTGTAACTTCCCAGTTTTCCTGGAGCTCTGGGTGCCACTGGGGCCTTCTGATCTTTTTCTCCTTCTTGTCCTTGGGGCCTGGTGTGATGGGAGGTGTGGTGTTACTGGTGGGGAAGGTGCTAGGTTGTTTGGCTTTTCTGCCTACTCCCTCAAACAAAAGAAGGAAGCTTGGATTTCTTAGGTAGCTGATGCCCCCTCCTTAGATCTTGGTTTCCTTGGTAGGAATTTTTGTGTGAGAGGGAGTTCAGCTCTCTCCCACGGATTTTTTTTCTCTTTCTCACCTCCCACAAATGGGGTTCCAGATATATTCTGGTCTTTCTTACTTTGTTGTCTTTCTCTCTGTTCTTCCTCCTCTCTGTTTTTGGTTTTTGGTTTTTTGGGTCATTGTTGTTAACTGTTTTTCTCCATCAGTGGGAGCTAAATTGTTCCCCTAAGCCTGCCAAATTTTATTCCTTCCCCTATTTTGGCCAAATCCCAGGGGGAAAGTCCTAGTATGCCAAAAATGTATGCTAAGCATTATTCAATTCCATGCAGGTTCCTACCAGCCAAGAAGCCTGCAGGTGGGAGCAGGGGACAGGTCCCTCCTTAGAATGTCTCCCCACGTTGAGAGGAGGGCACCTCAGAGGAAGGGGCTTGTCTCAGAGAAGGCTTTATTCTGGAACTGCCCCAGGACCCCACTGAAGAGCTTACCATGTCTCAACAGCCAGACCCTTTTGGTCTACGCGCTCTGTACAGGAGACTCTTGGTCTGCTGCTTTTCCCAGGCAGCCGGAGGCTGGAAGCAGCCCTCTGCCAGCAGGATGGGCTTCTCTTCAGAGGGAGGTGTGGCTTTCCCGTGGTCTGGCCTTTCCACACTGCCCCGGGGACCTCGAGGACAGAGGTGAAGAGCAGCGTGAGGCGGGATTGAATGACTTGCTCACGAGAGCGCGGGGGAAGTTTTCTCTCCATGGGCCACAGGGGGCAGGGCTGGGAGAAGAAAGAGACTTGCACCTTATATCATGTAAATAATGATTTTCTAGTTCAAGAAGATAATATTGGTAGTGTGGGAATGGGAGGTAGGAACAGGGAGGAAGTCTGAGTAAGCCAGTTGGCTTCTAAGCCAAAAGGATTCCTCTTTGTTTATCTTTGAGACAGTCCAACCCTGAGAATAGCTTTAAAAGGGAAATTAGTGCTGAGACAGTAAAGTCCCCTTAAGCCGACAAATTGTAGCTACATAGAGTGAGCGCAGGCTTCTATCGGTGGGGGCTCGGAGCAGTTTCGAAGAGCCACTCATGCTGTCGTCCGTTTGTACAAAATAGGGCAGGAAGATTCAGGAGGACGTTTATGACTTTTCTCGTATCACGTGGCTTTTCATGACTCTGGATTCTAAACAACCCAGAACAGTCCTTTCGGCCAGAGCTATTCTCCTACATTTGTGTGTCTCTGCTTTTAGACTTAGCTGGACTATCAGACCCGATTCTTGGCTCAGGTTTCAAGAAGCCATCAGCAAATGTACACATGCACGCTGTCGCTGCAACATTTCTTCCTTTGCCTGCAGCCTACTTTGGGGGAAAAAGTGCCTTACTGACTGTAGCCATTACAGTATCCAATGTATTTTGACAGGTGCCTGTCCTTTTTAAAAAAAAAACAAAAAAACAATTTGTTTGTTTTGTTTTGTTTCATTTTGGTTTTTTTTAAATTGGTTTTTGTTTCTTACTGTTGGCCAACTCTTAAGTCCCCAGCAAATCATTGGGCCATTGGATTTTTTCCATTATGTTCATTACCCTTGTACCGTGTACCTCAGATCTCTTTCTCTCTCAGTTACAGTTTCTCGTCTTGGACTTCTTTTATTATTATTATAATTTTTTTTTTTTTTTGCTTTAAAATGAGTGTGATGCCATATCGAATCAATGTTATTCTCTCACAATATACTCTATAAGAGGTGTGGGTGTTTATTTGGTCGGGATGCTAGCAAGTGCTAAAGTAGCATGATCAGTATAAGCAAAAGGTTTTTAGGAAGTATGGAAAAAAATGTTTTATTGGTTATGATGGTGACATGGTATAGTCAGCTGCCTTTGAAGAGGTCCTGCCTGTTCAGTGTTAAGTGATTTTAAAAAATAATGGCCTGTTATTCTGACCAGCTTAAAGATGGATTTGCAAATGGTTTTGGATGCAATTAGGTTATGCTATTTGGACAATAAACTCACCTTGACCTAAAAATTCTCTGGCCGCTTTGACTTATTTATAGACCGGCAGCCCTCAGACCAGAATGTGTCTTTCTCCTGTCGGAAATCTTTTGGCAACAAGTGGTAGTGGCATAAAACACAAATCCTAACCCGAAAGGTACCCCACGTGTGTATCCATGTTACTACAATACACGTAGTTAATGGCTTTTCTTCTCCCTTTTGGGTACCCCCCTGGGGAGGCATCTCATAAACTAGAAGCTTCAGCCCACCTTCCTGAGGTGGGCAAGTCCCTGCTATGGCGACTGGGCTTGGTTTCTGATGATTGCCGGCTCTTCACTCTTGCTGTGAGTATCTCCTCCCTTGGGAGGTGCCAGAGGTCTTGGGCGCCATCTCCAGACTCTGAGGGGATCTCTGAAGAACTCCACTTCTGAAGGTGTCTTGACTCATTCTGCAGCACCTCGAGGCTCTCACCTGATTCCAACCTGGTCTATAACTCTCCTGTGAGGTCATAACTACCTTTGGGGGAGGGGTGGTGAGGCAGAGCCTAGGAGGGGGTTGGGGGTGGAAGAGTGCACATCTAAATATACATATTTATACATATACATATTTATATGCTTATAAATAGACAAATAAAAAACAAATACATTGCCAAGCCCTGGTCCTAGCTGCCCCTGGACCTCAGCTCCTCAGACCAGCCTCTTTCACAAAAGCGATGGGTAATGCAAAGGGCGATGACTTCATAGCCATTTTGATGTTGCTATAAACACTTGCTCGTGCCCTCTATAGTTCCCTGCCTCTCTCAAAGCCACTGGAGGCTGTGTCCCAGTTTAATTCTGACCTAAATTGCAACGGTAAGATTAATACTGGTCACTGGGAAAATCCGGATTAAGATGTCGCCTGTTATTCTGAACTAACTCCACTTAACAGAATTTCTAATCTTCCAAGGAGCCTAGAAATTTCCCTTTGTCTCCATCCCCCACTGACAGTCACCATGCTTGAAGACAAGCAGGGAGAGCTTTTTTCCCTTGGGTTTCTGCCTAGTAGAGTCTGCAAGGCCTCCTGCGAGGCCCCCTCAAGGGCCCAGGTTGCCACTCTTAACCATCCTTGGAATTTTCTTCTGCACAACCTGTTGTACAGCTGGGTCCCTCCCCCCACCCCATTCCCCCAACTGTTTGCCCTGTATACAGTATCGGTGCCTGTGTGTTACTTAACACCACAACACCATTCTTTCCTCCAAATACCATCCAAAACACCACGGGCTTC